TTTTATAACATATCCTATAACGAGTATGCATATGTACATATTGCTGACTGGGGGAGAGCCTAACCTCTCGTACCCCACACTCCGCTCTTATTACGCCTCTGTCTAGCCAATAATAATAGGGCAAATTTGTAAACAAAGCCAAATGTGTGCTGTTTTAGTAATTTTTAGCAACTTTGAAACTTTATAGGAGTACAAAGTACACTTTTAATAAATATTAGTTAGTATTTTCGATTTGCAGAACATATTCTGAGACTTCGCTGAAAACATTGATGTTTTCGTACGCAGATCAGCTTTAATTTTGGCCCATTCATAGCAGCCTGTTTGTGAATGCTTTTCCGCCCATAACAAACTACAAATAATTAAAAAAAAACAATGAGCTGAAGCAATTTTTAATTTTTTTTTTTTTTGCTTTGATTTCAACGAATGTTGAAAATGAAGGTTGGTCGCACGACTAGTGCATATGACCAGATACTTTGTCTTGATTTTTGTGTTACACAAACTTAACCTAAAAGTGAATCCAAACCACAAGGTCTCTTGCCCTACCCAGCGTGAAATGTGCGTGTTTCTTCAAAGGCCTGTGAATGTGGACAGATTTTTAATTTTTTTCCGCCATCGATTTGATTTGTTTTCGCAGTCATCGTTCCAATTTTACAGTCAAGAGGAAGAATTCAGAGTTGCACCGAGAAAACATCGCCTAATAGCCTCTTCCCATAGAGTCCATCCGTTTGAAACGGTTGGGATTTTTGACGAATGTGAAACTCGTGTTCTTACAGAACTCCATCCACCATCTACCATCCAATAACAGCTGACTGAAGAGCAGTTGCTCAGCTCAACGTTAACGAATAGATTAAGAAAATGGTTTAAAAACATATCTGAACGTTTATAACATATCCTACAACGAGTATGCATACATATTGCTGACTGGGGGGTGTCTAACCTCCCGTAACCCACACTCCGCTCTTACTACGCCTCTGTCTGGCCAATATTAACATGAAAAATTTGTATACAAAACCAAATTTGTTCTGTTTCTGTAATTTATAGCAACTTTGGAACTTTATAGGAGTACAAAGTACACTTTAAATTAATATTAGTTATATTTACGAAGTGCAAAACCTATTCTGACACTTTGCTGCAAGCATTAATGTTTTCGTACGCACAACAGCTTACATTTTGGCCCACACATAGCAACCAGCTTCCGAACGCTTTACCGCACATAACAAACTACAAATAATTAAAACAAACAAAAAACAATGAGCTAAAACATTAAATAATTTTTTCCCACCATCGATTCGATTTGTTCTCGCAGTCATCGTTCCAATTTTCACAGTCAAAAGGAAGAACTCAGAGTTGCACCAAGAAAACATCGCCTAACTATCGCATAAAATAGCCCGTCAAAGTCCGTCAACACAAAATTAAGGGAACGACCCAAAATGGTTCCTGTTGAATTTTCAAACAGCTGTTATTTGTTGAAAAGTTTCACGGAACTTAAAGCATGTAAAATTTGATTTATTATTGCTAGTTACTGTCTAAATGTGTTACCAGGGTAAAAAGAACCACAAATATGCTTTCTAAGTTGATTTTAAAATAAATCATGCGTACTGGTGATACTAAAATGTTACAGAGTTGCCATGACATTTAATAAAAAAGGTAACAACTCTGGTTTTCAACAATTCAAGAAAATTGTCCACAGCCTCGAGGCTGTTGAATTGCTGAAATTTCTGAAACTTGACTTTGTATGGAACAGCTGATTAACAGCTGATAAAAATTCAACAATTCAGCAATTTAACAGTTTAGAGAATCCCCTGATTATAAATGGTACGAAAACCCCAAAAACCATAGGAAAAGTGCATGTAGAAGTTGCGGCAATACATATCCATGCCAACAGCAAATCTAAAGCTTGCGCCAGTTGATTTGTTTGCTGTTAATAAATCCAGATGTTATACAATAAGACCATGCTACATGCAAAGAGTGAACTCTGACAACTTCTGTCATACTACAAAAGAATAATGTTTTTCAACTAATGAAAATCTTAGCCGAACTGAGTACTAGGCTTCAGATAAGACTACAAATAATTCAACAATAACCAAAAATTAATGAGATACAATTTTTTTTAAATATTTTCCTTGCATCGCTTTTATTAATTTACATATCAATCGTTCAAATTTTCACAGTCAAGAGGAGGTATTCAGAGTTAAACCGAAAAATTGGGACGGCGGACTTATAGCCTCTTCCCCCAAAGTCTACCCGGTCCGGTCCCATCTATCCAAACGGTTGGGATTTTTGACAAATGTGAAACTCGTGTTCCAACAGAGCACATCTACCATCCAATAACAGCGGACTTGAAAAGCAGTTGCTCAACTCCACATTAACGAAGGTGGTTTTCAACTCGGCAAAACTGTCGTAAAATTTTAGAATAATACAATAAATAGCATAAGATAATAGTTTAAAACATATCTGAGCTTTTATAACATATCCTATAACGAGTATGCATATGTACATATTGCTGACTGGGGGGAGAGCCTAACCTCTCGTACCCCACACTCCGCTCTTATTACGCCTCTGTCTAGCCAATAATAATAGGGCAAATTTGTAAACAAAGCCAAATGTGTGCTGTTTTAGTAATTTTTAGCAACTTTGAAACTTTATAGGAGTACAAAGTACACTTTTAATAAATATTAGTTAGTATTTTCGATTTGCAGAACATATTCTGAGACTTCGCTGAAAACATTGATGTTTTCGTACGCAGATCAGCTTTAATTTTGGCCCATTCATAGCAGCCTGTTTGTGAATGCTTTTCCGCCCATAACAAACTACAAATAATTAAAAAAAAACAATGAGCTGAAGCAATTTTTAATTTTTTTTTTTTTGCTTTGATTTCAACGAATGTTGAAAATGAAGGTTGGTCGCACGACTAGTGCATATGACCAGATACTTTGTCTTGATTTTTGTGTTACACAAACTTAACCTAAAAGTGAATCCAAACCACAAGGTCTCTTGCCCTACCCAGCGTGAAATGTGCGTGTTTCTTCAAAGGCCTGTGAATGTGGACAGATTTTTAATTTTTTTCCGCCATCGATTTGATTTGTTTTCGCAGTCATCGTTCCAATTTTACAGTCAAGAGGAAGAATTCAGAGTTGCACCGAGAAAACATCGCCTAATAGCCTCTTCCCATAGAGTCCATCCGTTTGAAACGGTTGGGATTTTTGACGAATGTGAAACTCATGTTCTTACAGAACTCCATCCACCATCTACCATCCAATAACAGCTGACTGAAGAGCAGTTGCTCAGCTCAACGTTAACGAATAGATTAAGAAAATGGTTTAAAAACATATCTGAACGTTTATAACATATCCTACAACGAGTATGCATACATATTGCTGACTGGGGGGTGTCTAACCTCCCGTAACCCACACTCCGCTCTTACTACGCCTCTGTCTGGCCAATATTAACATGAAAAATTTGTATACAAAACCAAATTTGTTCTGTTTCTGTAATTTATAGCAACTTTGGAACTTTATAGGAGTACAAAGTACACTTTAAATTAATATTAGTTATATTTACGAAGTGCAAAACCTATTCTGACACTTTGCTGCAAGCATTAATGTTTTCGTACGCACAACAGCTTACATTTTGGCCCACACATAGCAACCAGCTTCCGAACGCTTTACCGCACATAACAAACTACAAATAATTAAAACAAACAAAAAACAATGAGCTAAAACATTAAATAATTTTTTCCCACCATCGATTCGATTTGTTCTCGCAGTCATCGTTCCAATTTTCACAGTCAAAAGGAAGAACTCAGAGTTGCACCAAGAAAACATCGCCTAACTATCGCATAAAATAGCCCGTCAAAGTCCGTCAAAATTGGATGGCGGACTAACTGGGAAATTTTCGGAACGGCAAAACCTTACGGACCATCCGTTCAACGGATGGTGGATGGAGCTCTGTGGGAAGACCCTATTATGTGAATAGGCTTGTACATAGTGTAGGGAATACCCTAAATGATTACAAAAATATATCACGATATAAGTATTTTCTGATATCGATATATCGTTGCTTGTATTTTTATTTCTCACATTTCTAACCAAATCGCAGCCAACTTCACGGGCTTCACTTTTTTCGAGAACGTGGATGGAAACGGACGCTTCGTTTTAAAAATAGAAACTGATAAAAATGTAAGTAACCTAGATAAATGCACTGAACAGATTGCAGCGAATATAACTGCGAATAGAGTTCAATTGACTTGTTTGCAGAACTCAATGTTGCAAGATCAATTTTAGATATGCAAAGAAACGCACTGTACCGGCTGCAACTCAAATTGCAGGCACGTGGTTTAGATTCCTTTGCAGTCTTAACAAACTGCTCAACAAATAAGGACCCTGTCTAAACAATGCACTCTTTTATATTGCAGGTGATTCCATAACTAAGAGGTGCTGCGTGTAAGCGCTGGCAGATTTGAATTGGTAAGTTATCATAGTTGGGTTTATCTTGTAATGAACTTTGTGCGAACACGAGTCGCTGGTGTAAAGAAACTCAACTTTAGCTAGTGCTTTTTACTTGTTCGCAGATAAAATGTACTTTGCCCAAGCATAACCCAAATTTGTTATACCCGAATTTGCGGTGCATATTTTTTTCGTAAAGCCGACATTTTGTTTCTCAAAAAATATATTATGTCTAGTAGTCGTAAAGTTACTAATCCATGCACTCAATTTTTACAGAAACAAAATGGAGTTCAACTTCACCACATGGTTTCTGGAAAAAATATCAAAATGGTAAGAATTCTATTAAAAACTTATAGTAAACTATCGTCACTCTATGATGATTTATTATTCTATTTTCTGACATCTCTTATGAACCGTTGTGATTCAAATCAGTTATAACAAATTCTGAAGTTTTCTAATTAAACTACATAATGATATTTATTGTAGCCATAACTAATAACACATTTTTCATTATTTGCAGATCAATTTCCTAATTTTGGTGTTATTTCTGATATATGCCAGAATGGAATTGTCCACGTGTTGAGATGGTAATTTACATTTAATTTAATTTTCACAAAAATAGTTTTAAAAACTTTCTGATGAATGAAACTTACACCATCTTTCGACTGAAAAAAGTATTGATGCTATACAAGTTTTCACTGATTTCTACTTACATTTACAAACGTGCTAAAAAATTATTTCTAGTTACTCACCAACCTATTCTTTTTATTTACTCTGCAGTCCGCATATATAAAAACGGATTTAATTATCAAATGGCAAACTTGGACTGAAAACTGGAAATGGTAATATATATTTAATTGAATAAAACTATTGGTATTTTCATGTCATTAAAGTAGTTGTAACGAAATAGTTGTGATGAATGAAACTTACACCATCTTTCGACTGAAAAATTTATTGATGCTATAAAAGTTTTAACTGATTTTGTATTTCCACTACAATTGTGTTTTTGTAAAGAGGTACGATTTGGCTCCTAAATAACGATATATTTCTTATTGCAGTAAAAAAACACCGAAGTTTCGAATTCGATGCCCAGTTTTGGACCAATCTGTTGCCAAGGTAATTACAAATGACATTTAAAAACCACTAATATTCAATGATGTTCTAAAATTTTCTGACATCTCTAATGAAGCGTTGTGATTCAAACTTATTAATATAATTAACTGATGATTTCTACATAATTTAAACGAACTTTCCTATTGCTTTAACTAATTTTTTTCCCTTTTTATAACTTTCAGGATTTCCCAAGGGCTGATTTTTTAAAATATATAAACCACAAGGTTAGTACTTAAATGGAGTTTTGCTTCAAAATAAATAAAGACCTTCAATGATGATCACTTAAACCATTCACAGACAACATATAAAGGTTAGGCGCAGACAAACTTCTTCAATATTTTTTTGGAGACAGGGAGTCTTGCCTGGCTGGTTATGGGCCCTGGTTAAAAACTTGGCACTGAGCTTCATAATATATTTTAGAATTTATCAATAATATGGGCAAAATAACTAATCCTCACCTTTTGATCTTTTCAGATTTCGCTTCTTGGAAGGGGGACCAACCAAAATCTTGTTAAACACCACACACTAAATAAAGAAATGCATTTGACATATTAAAAATCGTTTTTTACTAAATTTGCACGCTCTCGAAGGGCCAGTTCCTGATCCTGTTTGGCAATCATTCGCTCGCCCTTGGACTTCTTGCCAATGCCCAGCTTGGGCAATCCTCTGTTCAGACCCTCGAGAAGGACGCATGCCTTGCAGGGCTGCTGCGAGGAGACGAAGCCACATCGAGCGCATATGCCGCGCACTGGCTTCTTCACGGTGTCCTTGAATCGCAGCTGCTCGCCGGAGTAGATGATGTCCATGATAACCGAAGGCCGCACCTTCTCCAGATCCTTGAGGAAGGCTCTGGCATGTCCGCGGTACGCGTTGGGTGCAAACACGCACTCGGTGGAAAAATAGACGAGCTTCTTGTAGTGGGCATACATCACGATCTCCTTCTCGTAGCTGTATTTCAGGGGCTTCACTCGGGGTATGGAATCCTCGCCGCCGCCGGTCCGGATATCCGTGCAGCGTCGCAGGCGGGCCGTGTCCCCGCGGAGCACGTTCATCAGCACCGTCTCCGCAATGTCGTCGGCATTGTGGCCCGTGGCTATGCTGTCCACGGCCAGCAGCTTGGCTCCTCGGTCCAAGGCCTGTCGCCGGAAGACCCCGCAAAAGGTGCAGTTGTTGGAACGTCCGATTTGGCCCACAATGCGGTCCATGGTCCAGCCGTAGAGCTCCTCGTAGGACAGGATTTTCAGGGGCATCTGGTAGTCATCGCGGTTCTGCTTGACCGTCTCCAGGCTGTCGTCCCGATAGCCGGTAATGCCCTCGTCTATGGAGAGGAGCACCAGTTCCAGGCCATAGTCGTGGCGTTCGTTTAGCAGTTTCAGGCTGGAAGGGATGGCAGGGGTAAGAGCGGTGGAATGGGGGCGAAGTTTGGAACTTACACGTGAGCCAGGACCGTGGAATCCTTGCCCCCGCTGGCTGCCACGGCCACCTTCTCGCCACGCCGGAACAAGTTGCTGGAGGAGATCGTGTGATGAATCTCCGCCTCGAAGGCGGCAAAGAAGCACTCCTTGCACAGGGCATCGCCGGTTTTGGGGCGCTTTAAAGGAATTCATGATTAATGGGACTTATCCCGGGCTAATTCTCTCCAGACTTACCTTCAAGGCAGCGCGATTGCCGCACTGCGACTTGCAGTTGATGGGCATTTTAACTCACATTGAAGGGCGAACCAGCTGTTGCGCCTGTGCTCACAAATCATGTTACCCAGCACTGGTTGGGAAATGTATCGATAATATAGATTCGATATCAATGAAAAATAAACATCTACATCTACATCCACAATGAGCGCCGGGAAGGAGTTAAAGGCTTTGATCAAGGACATCCGGGAGACCATCAAGCTGGGCAGACATTCGGAGGCCATTCCCAAGTGCCAGGTGAGTCAGCGCTGCAGGATATTCCCGTTGCGCCTTAACCCAATGACATTCATTGCAGCGCCTGCTGAAATCGGAGCCTAGGAATGCCATGGGCTACTTGTTGCTCGGAGCCGCCTACCAGAATCTGGACAAGACGGAGGCGGCCAAGAACCTGAGGCTGTGCATCGAGTTCACGGAAGGGCCGGCCACCGCCGCACTCCTGGGACTGGCCAACTGTGCGCCCAGCAACGAGCTGCCGGAGATCTACGATCAGCTGGCGGACCTGCAACCGTAAGAATATGTATCCTAACAATCTCAATCTCACAAAGTAGTCTTAAATGTTCCTAATGAATCCCGCTTATCCGTAAAAAAGTTAGTGTATATAAAGCTTAGGATCCAACAGTTTAAAGCGCCCATAACAGTAATTTGAATAACGATTACACTGTGCAGCATTTTTAATGCTTTTTAAGTTTACCTCGATGGATGATATATTTTTGGATTCGTTACGAATTCCCAAGTTAAACTGCGTTTTCCAAAAAGTTCCCCGACGCAAGGATTCTTAGCAAAAGGTCCTCAAAGTTCGAAAAATGCTGAAATTGGCCAACTTTCCGGAGCTCTCAGAGGCAAAATTTTTTAAAAGACACACTCTTTGTCTTTCAAACGCCATACTTAGAATAATTTTAGGATTTTTATTAAGGGAGTAACAAATTTTAGAAAACATAAAAGCATACAGCTGCGGTCAAAATAGTAGTAGTGCTTCCATCGAGGTAAATTTTTGATGCTGCATAGTGTTATCATCGATTATCATGTATTCAACTGTACGAACCTGATCATTATGTTTTTGTTCCTAGAGAACAAGCCTTGGACTTTTGGGAAAAGCTCTTCAACTTGGCCTCGGACTCAGCCGTGGCCCCTGCTTGCTTTGCCGTACTGAAAAAGAGAGTTAAGAACCCAGAGAACAGGAACTATGCCAAAATTCAGGAATACCTGGGACGCATTTGGTTTGCTAACGATTTCGAAATCGGCCCAGAGGACAGTAATCTTGTACGTTACCCTAACATAGGAGAATGTATGGCGACTAATTGCACTTTCCCTTAGTACAAAACAACGATGGAAGCCCTGCTGGATTTCTCAGATCCAAGTGCAAAGAGTGCCGTCTACAAGCGCTACCTGAAATGGCTCTACAAGGAGAAGGATTTTGTGGCCTGTGTGCGGCACGCCTGCAACATGACCGAATCGCATCCGAAGGATGTCTACGGCTACGAGTGGATATGCAAGACCTACTGCGAAAACCACGAGCAATCCGACACAGATCTCTGGCAGCAGGAGCTGCGGCAGCCCATTCAGGTGTACGCTGAGCAGCTGCTGGAACTGAATCCCAACTCCAACCTGGCCCTGTTGATCAAGGCACTGGAGCTTTATGCTGAGGGACAGTATGTCGCGTCCCGACAGTTGGCACTGCAGGCACAGCAAAGTCATCCCGCGTACAAGGTCACGCTTGAGCTGCTGGCTCGCATCCACACAGAACTGGGCGCCTTCAAGCTGGCCCTTCAGATGTGGCAGCAAATTGGTCGGGAAAGCGATGCTTATGCTCTGTGTTTGTCCCACGAGAAGGATCATTCCAAATTAAGAGAAGCTGTCGGGATGTTGCAAGCGCTGAAGAAGTCAGAGGGCAATACTAAGACATTGGCTCGGTGAGCTTTTAAAAATATATTATCATAACCATATAAACCATAATTATTATTTGCAGCTGCTTCTTTAAGCTGGGTGAGCTGCAGCTGTTGAAGGATTTGCATCTGGACGATCTCTCGAGGGCAGAATTTCTTTTGTAAGTAAATCCAGAGGATAGTTTTCCATCAAACCAACCGTCCTCATAACTACCAGATCGCCAGCTGAAGCTCTCCGAGAAATGGCCAACCAAGAGTCCTTCGAGGCCCTCCTGCTATGCGGCAAGCTGCACATGGCGCTGAACAGCTATGCTGACGCCTTGAACTGTGTGCTGAAGGCCACTCGGCTGCGACCTCACTTTGCCGAGTGCTTCGACTACCTGGGCAGGCTATATCCGCTGGCTACCGGCGACTTGGCGCGTGCCCGCAAGTGCTACGAGAAGTGCATCAGCCTCAATGCTTTGGCCGAAGAAGCCGTGGATGCTCTGAGTTTCATCTACCAGGAACTGGGCGAGGAGGAGTTGAACGAGACACTGCTTCTGAACACATTGCGGCACCTGGGCAGCGACGAATCAATCCGCCTGCAGTACAAGCTGGGCCTGCATTTCCTGCAGGTGAAGAAGTGCGACAATGTGAGTAGCGCATGTATGGTCCTTAAAATATCCCCTCCAACCAATTTATTGCAGGCAATCCAATGCTTTCGCATTGCCATTAAACACGACTCGCGGTGCATGGTCTACTGGGAGTCATTGGGCGATGCTTATGCGGCGCGTGGCTCTTACAACTCGGCCATTCGGGTCTTCCAGAAGATCCTCGAACTCTCCGCGGAGAACAGCTACGCCCTGCTTCAAATAGCCTCCATCAAAACGGTGTGATGATTTGAATTCAAACATGGAACATAATAGAAAGCATTTTTACCATACTCAACAGACGATTCGCAGTTATGCCGAAGCTATTGACGATTATGATGTGCTGTTAAGGCTGAATCCCAGTTACCTGCCAGGTCTTCGAGGAGCCGCCGAGGCGCATATTGGCATGGCGAACAGTCTGAAGAGTCAGAACCTTTACGGCAGGTCCAAGCAGCATTTCCAATTGGCCGTGGGACACCTTCAGAGGTATGAAGGTCATCCTATTGTATTATATTTTTAAACTATTTGCCTCTTTAGTGCCTTCCTTCAACCGGAAGCTCAGAGCATGGTTTGGCTGTGGCGCCTCGCGGCCAGTGTGTTCGTTCAGACGGCTCAGCTGCCGCCCTCGTTGGCCAACTTGGATGTGGCCGGCAGTCTGGCCAAGCGGGAGGAACCCATTGCGTATCTGTCGCGCAAGGATCTCCTGCAGCTGGCGCAGCGTTTTTATCTGTGCGCACTGAAGCTGAAGCAGAACACCTACCTGTGGTACGAGCTGTCGCTGGCCAGCTACTGCAGTGCCGTCTTCATTCCCGAAGAGGCCAAGGGCCACCTGGATACGGCGGCCAGGGTGTGCAAGATGGCAATCAAGGAGCGCGGCAATCGTTGGCAGAACTGGAATCTGCTCGGCGTGATCAACATGCATCCGGAATACGAAAACCTGCCATTGGCTCAGCACTGCTTTATTCAGGCTGTGGAGCTGGAACGAAAGTGTTTCACAGCATGGACCAATCTGGGGGTGCTCTACATCAAATTGAACGAAATCCGACTGGCCAACGAGGCGTTCACGAGAGCCCAACAATCCAGCCCCGTGTACGCCAACGCTTGGATAGGCCAGGCCATGGTGGCGGAGACTATTGGTGATCGGGAGGAAGCCTTCGATCTGTTCCGTCATTGCCAGCAGTTTGATTACCACCCAGAGGCGGCGCTAGGCTTCACGCACTGGGTGTGCGAAATGCTGTCGGATCCGGTTTCTCGGAACAAGCCGCACATCAGGCATGCCATCGAGCACATGTACGCGGATGTCTATGCACTGGATGCCATCAATTGGTGAGTAATAGTAATCTACTGCTTAAAACCATCTACATTATCTACATTTAAGGTACGTGCAAAATGAGGAGGCAGACGCCAGTATCGCATCGCTGTCTTTCCAGGGATTTCTGTACGCCCGGAAAGGGCTCTATCACCAAGCGGTCGAAGCCTTTACCCGCGCGTGCAAGCTGTGCGAGCCTGGAGCGGATCGGGACAAGCTGTATACAAATCTGGGGTACCTGTACCTGAAGCTTGACCAGCCGGAGCAGGCGGCCAACGCCCTAAACACGGTGGCTCACGCCACATTCAAGCCCATCATTGGCTTGGCTCAGGCATATTACCGATCCGGCCAGTTGCAGGAATCCTATTCGATCTACAACTCCGTTCTCAGCAACGTGGTTGGCCATGACGATGACAAAGCGGCCACCATCCTAGTGGCGATGGCCTCCATGATCTACGCCTACCAGGGCGAAGCGGACACCAAAACGCTACTCTATCAGTGGTTAGTGGCGGAAGACTTGTTTCGTTGGTTCCACTCCTTTAACTTTATGATTTTCCAGTGTCTTGCTGAAAGATGTTCCCATTCAGGCCCTGTACTCGGCCTTTGCCTTGGGCATAATTCACAGGGATAACGAGCTGAGCCGAACGATAATGACCGAGCTAAGTGCGTACGCTTTCAAGGAGGAATATTGCGCCGATGTGTCCTACCTAACGGCCTACTATATCCTGATAAATGTGCGTTGTGCTGATTTTGTTGGATCTAAGATAATAATGCCTTGATTGTTTTAGGATGGTGTGCGCAAGGCCTTGTGCTACCTACAGACCCGTGTCCGCATGTTTCCCCATTCCGCGAGTCTTCGGAAAGTTTTGCTCAAGTTTCTTCTTGACTATTTCCTCGAGGAGCGAACCTACCAACTGGCCACCTCAAATATGGCTTTGATAGCTCTTACGCTGGGTCACACCAATCAGCAGAACGGGTAACATTCGGGGCAACTGATTAATATTCACTATTTTCAATTACTTTTGATTGTTTTTAGTATATTGGCCAGCGAGGAGGCCCAGACGACCATCTATGCCAGCCAGGCGGTGAGTCCCGTGGACAGGACCTGCTCCCTGAAGTTGGTGCAGCGCGCCATTCGCCTGAACCCGAGTGACCAACGAGCGAGAAGGTTACTTTCCTCCATTACTGCTCGCTAATCGCAATTCCCAATAAAAGTTATTCAAAGCAGAGATTTGAAAACCGTATTTTCTTGCCGCCAAAAGCGTTAGTGTTGCAAAACGCCAGGGAGCAATGTGACCGCTCGTCGGCAGTGGCTGTAGCACGGCGGTCACACTGCAGAGCGAGGGTGAAGCCAAGTCCACGAAAAAGTGAATAAAAAGCGTAAAATGTGTGTGAAATAGTGAAAATGCAAAAGCAATAGGAAAGCGAGGGACCCAAAGTGACAATGTGCCGCACGATTGGCCGCAGATAAAGCTCTAAATCGCCGCGAGGGGCATCCACTGCGCCCTGCATACCTGTGTATGAAAAACCTGCTGCCGCGGCCGTAATTACAGTTAGACACTAAAATAGCTGCACGGTCAGGTTGCGCGGAGATTTGGGGCACGCAGCTCGGCGAGAAGGGGACTCGGGATCGGGCGTAGCCCACGCACGCTAGCCCAATTGCAATGGAAAACGAATCCGTCAAGTCGGAACACAGTGGACGCTCGAGACGCTCGCGGAATCACAACAACAACGGCGGAGGGGGTGGCGGTGGCGGAGGCGGCGGAGCAGGAGGAGGAGGAGGCAGTGTGAACAACGGCTACCATAGGGAGAGGGATCGTTCCAGGCACTCGCATCGCAGCACGCACTCCTCCAAGTCGGGCAAGGGATTCCAGCGGGGCGACATGGCACCGTACCAGACCAGCGTTAATATGACAGGTGAGTTTAGTGGTGATGCCATGTCCATGTCCACCAGGTTCCATTACACCACACTTTGCATCACCAGGTGACGGCAGCCACGACGGCCAGGAGGTCATCGAGGTGCAGATTCTGCCGCAGGACGAGAACTGGGGCGAGAACACCACCGCCGTCACAGGCAACACCTCCGAGCAGAGCATCTCGATGGAGGACATCAACAACATGTGGCACCGCGAGAACGACAAGGGCTTCGGCTTCGCCTGCCGCCGCTACGTGGAGTCCGGCTTCTACTTTCTGCTGGGCTGCGGCGCCTTCTTCTCCCCGGTGGCCATGGTGGTGATGCCCTACGTGGGCTTCTTCCCCTCGGCCTTCGACCACCCGGAGCTGACGCAGACGGTGCGCACCCAGCTGCTGGCCTGCAGCGAGCAGTGCAAGGGCCAACTGGTCTCGCTCGCCGCCCGCCTCCTGCTCCTGGCCATCGGTCTGTGGGCGGTCTTCATGCGCCGCACTGCGGCCAGCATGCCGCGGATTTTCCTGTACCGCGCCTTGGTCCTCCTGCTGGTCACCATCTGCACCTTCGCCTACTGGCTCTTCTACGTCGTGCAGGTCACGAACGGGGCCAAGATCGTCGTGGAGACGGGCGGCGATGCCGTGGACTACAAGTCACTGGTGGGCTACGCCACCAACTTTGTGGACACCCTGCTGTTCATCCACTATGTGGCCGTGGTGCTGCTGGAGCTGCGCCACCAGCAGCCCTGCTACTACGTCAAGATCATCCGCTCCCCGGACGGCGTCTCGCGCTCCTACATGCTGGGCCAACTGAGCATTCAGCGGGCGGCGGTGTGGGTGCTGCAGCACTACTACGTGGACTTTCCCATTTTCAATCCCTACCTGGAGCGCATCCCCATCTCGGTCTCCAAGTCGCAGCGCAACAAGATATCGAACAGCTTCAAGTACTACGAGGTGGACGGGGTGAGCAATTCGCAGCAGCAGAGCCAGAGCAGGGCGGTTCTGGCGGCCAATGCCCGGAGGCGCGACTCGTCGCACAACGAGAGATTCTACGAGGAGCACGAGTACGAGCGTCGCGTGAAGAAGCGGCGCGCCCGTCTCATCACCGCCGCCGAGGAGGCCTTCACCCACATCAAGCGAATTCACAACGAACCCGCTCCGGCATTGCCGCTCGATCCGCAGGAGGCTGCCTCAGCTGTCTTTCCCTCGATGGCCAGGGCTTTGCAAAAGTATTTGCGAGTGACGCGCCAGCAGCCGCGACACACCTTCGAGAGCATCCTGAAGCACCTGGCGCACTGCCTGAAGCACGATCTGTCGCCGCGCGCCTTCCTGGAACCGTACTTGACCGAGTCGCCAGTGATGCAAAGCGAGAAGGAGCGCCGCTGGGTGCAGTCGTGGTCGCTGATCTGCGACGAGATCGTCTCCCGACCCATTGGCAACGAGTGCACTTTCCAGCTGATTCAGAACGATGTCTCCCTCATGGTCACCGTGCACAAGCTGCCGCACTTCAACCTGGCCGAGGAGGTTGTGGACCCCAAGAGCAACAAGTTTGTGCTAAAGTTAAACTCGGAGACATCCGTATGACACCACCACAACGCCCCGCCGATCATCACGCCCACGCACAGCAACCAGACGCAATCGTCCTATCTGCATGTGTTTGTCTGATAATCCCGATATTCTTATACTCCCATTCCTTTTTTATTAATAATTTTTCAGACCTGAAAAGTAATTCATTTCCAAAAACATCATCATAATCAAATTAAGCAATCAAAATTAATGAATACGCTACAAAAATAACTAGCTGAACAGAACGTCACTCAATTCCTAGAATTTAAAAAACCAGAAACAGGTCGGAAGCTTGAAATCGACAAAAATTCAAACAGGCCCTGTACTTATTTGTTCATGTAACTGACGCTTAGGTGAGGAGACGATGTACTTATCAGCTACGAACTTGAACTTATGACCCGAATATCAACAGCCAATCAATGCTCAAAACTCTATCATCCTAAACCGACTCGAACATATCACTCGACCCTTCTTCGATAAGCAAGCATGACTTACAAGTTCCCAAAGTATTAATTATAAGAATGATGGTTCGGCTTCCAGAACCGCGATCATAAGATATCAACTCTTCAATGCAGCTCTTTTATACACGTTTTTATTTTAGGAAATATGTTTAGAATAAAGTTGGGCCTACACGTCTCGGAATATCTAAAATTATACACAATATTCGGGACGTGTAAGCCCCATCGGTAGCCTTAAGAAGGTGTGGAGTCAGCCAAGAGGAAACCATGGAATTTTAGCCAGGACTCGGACTTGCGCCAAAAGTGGAGCAGCCACTCTTGGCGCGACTCGATGGGATTTTACATACGCACATTTTAAGCCGAAACCGAAAGGTCCTAGCTCAGCTGCCACAAAGTTGAGAGACGACAAAACTGTAACTCGAATGCAACTGATGACAAATACATAATTTAAGCAAAGACTGCCTGAATATGCATTTTATACATACAAATTGCCAACAGCCACTAACAGGTGTATGTACTAACCTGTGCATAGCAACCACATATATACAGAAACTCGTGTATTTTTAGAAACAAAATTGTAGTGATAAGGGCCCTAATTCGTATTCGAACATATGTACGTTCCAGTGAACCCAATCTAAGCATATATAGTATATATATATACCTATTTACAAACTACTTAGAGAACTTTTGCTTGAGGTTTGATTTCATTTTCGTTTTCTAGCTAAATGCCTTCTTTCGAAGCACTCCATTATATTGCAATTCTCTAGCAACTACTTAAAGCAATTGGACATCCAACTATTTAAATATTAACTCTCAAACTGTAACCGTTGTAACTGTATTTAGCTTATGAAACCACATGCCGTAAAATAAATCAAACCCACTTTTTTAACAGCTTTAAATGAATTGTTTTTCTGACGTGCGATGACGCAAATTATGGAAATACGCCAGTAATTAATTCATTCATAATCAGGTCTTCTACAATATAATGAAATTGTTCTTATCAGCCTTAGATTATTAATAAGCAGTTCCTATAATGATAAATGAGCCAGCTGGCTTACCATATTGCACATAAGTACAATATTGATTTAATCTCACATCAATCAGTTTTAAATTCTTCTATCGCTGCCACTCAAGTTCAAATGATAAGAATAATAAGTGCAATTAATTCAAGTGTGTTGAAACCTGGTGGTCTCATTTTTCACATCATTAAGATAAGGAAGTAAATGCTTTGTTTGGCCGATCATATATCCGACTTATGCAACTCGTACGATTCTGGTGGTGCCTGGGTGATGGTACTGTTCGCCTTTATTTACAAGTTTTCATAAATATTCGCCTAATGTAAATAGAATACTAACATATCGGATATACTCTAAAGACTAATAGTCAACAGCTCAGCACGGCTGTTTTGTTTTTTTGGCTTGTGCGTCAGTGCTGTTAGTATAAAACTTATAATTTTAGCCAGGTCAACATGTTGGATGTATCGTCAAATTCGCCTAGAGTGTCCCCTAAAAGGGGGCATGCAGATTAGTCCTTCTTGCGCTGGAGCCCGTTCTTCTTTGGCTCGTAGAATTCCTCGACAATGGCCTCCACCATGACGTTCAAAGTGTTGGTCAGCTTAGCCCAGTTCTTCTCCTCCGGCTTGCCGCACATCTCGGCGTAGTACTTCATCTTAGGCTCCGTGCCGCTGGTGCGCAGGGTGACCACCAGGCCGTTCTTGAAGGTGAAGGTGATCATCTGGGAGCTGGAACTGGTGGGCAGAGTGGCCTTCTTGTCGCCGGTGCTGCTGTCGTAGCCGGTGGTTAGATCGCGAACGTGTTCGATCTCGTACTCGCCTTTCAGGATGCTCGTCGGATAGGTGTCCGCCTTGCCCTCGTCCCAGGTGCGGAGGCGCTCGAAGATCTGCTCGATCACCGGCGGGCAGCGGCAGATGACATACGAACAGATGGTCGTGTGGAAGCCGTACGTCTCGTAGATGTCGCGAAGCTTCTCCTGCAGCGTCATGCATCGTTTGCACCGCAGGTAGCAGGCCATTGTGGCCACATGGGCAGCGGCACCGACTCCATCCTTGTCGAGCACGGCAGTGCCGACCATGAAGCCGATGGCCTCCTCGAAGGCAAACAACACCGTCTTGCCGGCCTGCTGTTGCTCGATGGCCTTGTTGCCCATCCACTTGAATCCCGTCAGAGTCTCAAAGAACTGGAAGCCTTCCCGCTCGGCCATGGCCCTCAGGATCTTCGAGCTCACCGTGCTGGCTATCATCACGACGTTGCTGACGTCGCAGTCGGGCTCGCGCATCTTGTGCAGTTCCAGGGCCCACCAGCCCAGGAGGGCACCCACCTCGTTGCCGCTGAACAGCTTGTAGCTGCCATCCTCGCGCACTTCGGCCACCGCCAGCCGATCGGCATCCGGATCGTTGGCCAGAATAACTTGGCTGCCGCTGGCCTTCGCCGTCCGGATGGACAGATCCAGGGAGGTTTTTCCCTCCTCCGGATTGGGCAGGGGCGTGGTCGGGAACTCCGGGTCCGGCTCCTGCTGCTCGCACACCGAGACGAACGGCTTCAGGTTGACCCTGGCGAAGGCCTGCTTGGCAAACTCATAGCCCACGCCGTGCATGGCCGTGTAGGTGAAGGAGATCGGGCACCTTCCGTTGACCTCCAGCAGGCTGCAGGGCAGGCTCTTCTTCAGGACGTCGAAGTACGGCGGCACAACGATGTCGTACGGATCCTCGATCATCGTGTTCCCACACATCGCCGAGTCGTCCCACGAAGAAGCCTTCGGCTCGAGGTTGTTCAGGATGGCCTCCTGGATGCCCGCGTCGTGGGGCGGGATGATCTGGGCTCCGTTGCTCCAGTACACCTTGTAGCCGTTGTCCTCCTTGGGGTTGTGCGATGCCGTCACCATGACCCCGGCCAGGCACTGCAGCCGGGAGATGGCGTAGGGCACCATGGGCGTGACCACGTAGCGCTTGAACTGCCACACCTTGAAGTCGTTGTTGAGAAAGACAATGGCCGACAGCTCGGCAAAGCGGTGGCTGTTGTAGCGCCCATCGTACCCAAAGACGATGCCCCGCCCAGACCAGTCCTCCGGGTTCGGGTACTGCTCCTTGATGTACTCGCACAAGCCCTGCGCCGTCCTGTTGACAGAGTCGATTAGGTAATCACCCCTTGGAGATATAGATCTAACTTACTGTATTACCACTAGCTCGTTCATCGAGTCGAAGCCCGCCCGCATGCAGGCCCGCAATCCTGCCGTGCCAAAGCTGATGCGAGTGCACAGTCTCTTGCGCAGCCTGTCCAGGGTGAGGGGGAGCCAATTAAACAAAGATGGATTTAAAATAATTAACTGATCTTACGTATCCCAATCCTGCGCCCGGACGGCGTCCATGATTTGGCAGGCGGTGCTGGCGCACTTGTCCCACCGTATCCACTTGCGGATCTGGCCGTCGAGCTCCGGATCGCCCGACAAAGCCATGTTCTTGATCTCGCACAGCATCTGTCCCGTGGGTTGACACATGGTGGCTGAGTGCTTTTGACCGAAAGAGCGCAGTGCGGAAAATCTGATTAATTTCAAGTTTAATTTGGAGAATGCCGAACGGGGGCGGAGAAAAGGCAGAACTCGCTTCCTGACAGTGATGTCACAGACCGGCAACAGAGAAAAGCACACTTGGCTGCCGTTAGGAGCGGCGATTGACGATCGACTGGTGGGGTGTTTTTAGACTGGACTGATAAGTTCGCTGATGCGGCCACATACACACAATCGATCCGCCACGCCCCCTTTTATTTTTACGCAAAATTTAAGATTTTTGGATGCGTGAGTTAGAGATGGCAGCGTGAAGTGCAGTGAGGCCTACGTTTCGACGTCCTAATTATTAATAATATACTTATTTTAAATTTTTAAATGTGCCAAACCTAGCATCCTAAAATAAACATTTTTAAAATATATTTTATTTTACTATATATATATTACTAGTAGTAATTGTACCGAATAACTTTCAAAAAGCCCAAGCTCAGAAAATTCAACAGTAAAAATGGAGCACCTCGGTAAAAAATAAATGTCAGCTTTTCGTTTTTCTTTAATTTGTTTAAGCTTTTAATACGAAACATAACATAAATATAATAATAAGACGGATCACATCAGGACTCCCAAATAGTATTATTATTATTTAAAAAGAATTGAAAAAACTCTTCGCTGTTGCAGTTTTAAGCGGTGGTAAGCAGGCACTTCTAGATTTGTTAAGGGTATTCTAGATTTGCAGAACCGATTATAATCGGTATTAGCCAACACCAGCATTCGACCCATCTCTAGCGGAGTTTTTGCGACTGGCCGGACGCGGAACGAAAAGAAAATAAACCATTTTATTCCGTTTCTTATAGTCAATAAAGAAAATGGCTGATGTTCTGGACATTGACAATGCAGAGGAGTTCGAGGTGGACGAGGACGGTGACCGTAAGTAGCCGTAGCGAACTTTCCCTTACCCCGATCTCATGCCTTCATTTTTCTCCCACGCCGAACCGTGCACCCTACACTCAAAACAGAGGGCATTGTGCGCCTGAAGGAGAAGGCGAAGCACCGCAAGGGACGCGGATTTGGGAGCGACAGCAACACCCGGGAGGCGATCCACAGCTACGAGCGGGTGCGCAACGAGGACGACGACGAGCTGGAGCCCGGGCCACAGCGGTCCGTCGAGGGCTGGATCCTGTTCGTCACCTCCATCCACGAGGAGGCGCAGGAGGACGAGATCCAGGAAAAGTTCTGCGACTACGGCGAGATCAAGAACATCCACCTGAATCTCGACCGACGCACTGGGTTCTCGAAGGGCTACGCCCTCGTCGAGTACGAGACCCACAAACAGGCGCTCGCCGCCAAGGAGGCGCTGAACGGGGCCGAAATCATGGGACAGACCATCCAGGTGGACTGGTGCTTCGTCAAGGGACCCAAACGCGTCAAAAAGTCCGACAAGCGCCGCAGATAGACGACACAGCAGGCCACACGAATACATTTTTAATTAGTTTAATGCATAGGCAACCGTACAAAGTCTATTTGAAGTGAAATAAAGCAGATACTAAACTCTACCAACTACCTTTATACAATCATTACAAATTGTTAGAAATAGCTCTTATATTAGTATTTATTAAAAACACTACAGGGATTTGCGCCCCAGGGGCCACTACTTCATCTTCTTCTGGTGGAGTAGATGCTTCCTAAGCGCCTGCTGCTTGTCCTTGAAGCTCTTCTTGACCTTAGAGCGCGCCTTGTGCCGCAGCATGCCAAAGTTCTTGGTCTTGCGCTTCTCGCGGTTCGTCTTGGAGCAGTGCTCGTTCACCCGACCGTCCTTCCACCCAAAGCGCTCGCGATCTTGCCGGCCCGCCTGAACGGTCTCCAGCCGCGACTCCTTGTCGTGCTTGCGTTTCTTGTAGATCATCTCAATGCTGTTCAGCTTGACGAACTCAGCGCGATCCTGTTCCAGCGGCCGCTTGCGGGCACTAGTCACGGTCTTCTTCAGATTGGCTGCGTTGATGCGCTTGAAGTCCTCGTCTGTGAATATGCGCGTAAGAGCCAGTTCCTGGGCAGCCTCCTTTTGGTTGAGAATTTTCATATCTTTTTTCTCCTTTTTGGCCTTTGCCGACTCTTCTCCACTTTCCACGCCTTCATCCGAGTTGTCTCCGTCTTCCTCCTGGTCACTGTTGTCCTCGTCTTCCTCTTCATCATCGTCTTCCTGCTCATCTTCGTCCTCATCTTCCTCTTCGTCATCCTCACCCTCTCGACCTCCCTCGCCATCGCTGTGCGTCACGTTGACCCATTCCCCATCGTTGGAGTCCGTGTCCTCGTCGCTCTCTATATCGATTGTCTTGGAGTCCTTGAGCAGAGCCTCTGCACCCAGCACTGTATCATGAACTTCGCGTTCTCCGTAGGCGCGAACCTTGCGTTCGGCCTGTGCCTCCGTCTGCCTGCCGCGATCCTTCTTGTGCAACAGAGCCGGTAGCTGTTCTCGGTACAGTGTGATCAGCGACCTCGCTGCCATCATCACTGACTTCTCCTTGTACGTTTTGTACATGGCCAAATCCTGGAGCAGATCCTCGCCCATGGCCAAGGGACAGCGCATGCAAATCTCGCGCGTGGCATTCAGACCGATGGCCATAACATCACTGGAGTTGCGCTCAGTGATGAAGTTGTTGGCGATCGTCTTCAGGATGGGTTCGATGATGTCCCCGGGCACCAGTTCGTGCGAAGCCTGCGCGGCGAACTGCAGCACGCGGGTCACCTGGCGTTGGTGGGGCTGCAGGAAGCGAGTTATGTACGGATAGAACCCGAAGAGGAACAGCTCGTGGATGCCGATGAGGCGGGAAATGACGTCCAAGTGCATCAGTTTCACCTCGAATCGCTCGTTGGTACCCTGCAGCTGCTTGAAAAGGCCCTCGGCCATGCCCTGCGGATTGTGCACCAGGTGAATGCCCGAGAAGTTGAAGGCGGGCGCGTTCTTCTTTTTCTTCTGCGCCTTCACTGCCTGCTTCTTGATTTGCGCCAGCTGTTTGGTCCGCTTCTTGGTCTTCTTGTTGACGCGATTGGCCATCAGAGCCCCCTTCAGGTCCACTTCGTTCTCGCTGTCGGTGTCCTCCTCCTCGTCCTCTTCGTCGTGGCCGAGGAAGAACTTTAGCGAGGTGACCAGCACCTTGGTCACCTTGGAGAAGCAGCCAACAGTGGCTATGACGTTCACCGTCTTGGGATCGTTCCAGATATTCTTCTTGTACAGCTCAATCATGATATCAGCGGACATCTTGGCCGCCTTGGGATTGGCGTCCTTCAGCATAGAGTACATGAAGGCCTGCAGGCTCTGGAATGGCATAAAACTTTAATTATTATAGTAGTAGTCTAGAAAGTAGTCCACTGAATCTCACCGAATTCAGCTTCATATCCTTGTGCTTGGCATTCATGTTCTTTATGTCGGTCACGATGTGCGTTTGCAGAAAGGTGCGCAGATTTTTGTCCGGACACCGCAGCAGCTGGAAAAACAGCTCCAGTATGTCCAGAGCGGGCACCAGGTTCTTGTTCCTCAGCAGGATCAGGGCTTTCACGAAGCAATTCCGCATGGCCGGATCCAGAACGGTGGCGTAGTTCTTCAGCAGATCGGACAGCCGCTTGGGGAACTCCTCACAGACGGCCGGATAGCACTGAGCCACCTGGGCCACGAACATGACGATGTCATCCAGGGATTTGTTCTCCTCGCTGGGATTCAGCGCGAACACCTCCAACAGGCTGAGGAAGTGTTGGTACTGGATGTGGAACTCATCGCTGTACGACTCCGGATCCCGCTTGATAAGGTTCTGCAGCTGCGGCAGGTTCTCCGGCAGCTGGTTGTTGTTGGGCCGCACCATGGTGAGCCGTGAAATCTTTATGGGATGGAAACTGCGTTCTTTTTGTTTCCAACCACGTTCCGTCGCCCAAAAAAATATGCACGTGTGGTGTGTGACCAGTCGTGGGTGGAGCGGAAATACCAGACAGGCAGTTTTATATCTCTTAATTAATATTTATTTTTTGTTTTACAAGCAGGGAACGAAAATAACTGTTATTGTAAATTTTTCATACAAAAAAATCACGCACTTAGAAGGGTCCTAAAAATTTTTTAAATACACCACAATTTTTATTAGCCATTGTAGTTTACAAATCCGTAATGATTTTTATTTTTTGATTTTTATAATAAAACTCAAAAAATAACTGTTATTTTTTGATTTTTATGAATAACAGTTATTCTATAACAGTTATCCTTGACATTTTTGAAAAAATGAAATAATTAAAAAAAACATGATACCCGTGCTTTTTATAACTTACTAAAAATTTGTTAAAAAAGGCAACCGCGCATATTTTATACCTATATTTTTTTAAAATTTTGTTTACCCACAAAATCGCCATAAATCAAGTTTGAGTTTTATTTTTGATCACGACGAATAACTGTTATTTGTCAACTTTTATTATAAAACTCAAAAAATAACAGTTGTTCTTTGAGTTTTACTTTACAAATCAGAAAATAACTGTTAAAGTGTGATTTTTAAAATAAAACTTATAACAGTTACGTTCCCTGTTTACAAGTTCCTTAAAGCCTTCTTTTTAATAATCATTAATTATAAGTTATAATAGGGGGATTCCCTAAACTGTTGAATTGCTGAATTGTTGAAAATTCAACAAAAAATTTCAGCAATTAAGGGAACGACCCAAAATGACTCCTGTTGAATTTTCAAACAGCTGTTATTTGTTGAAAAATTTCACGGAACTTAAAGCATGTAAAATTTGATTTATTATTGCTAGTTACTGTCTAAAAGTGTTGCCAAGGTAAAAAGAACCACAAATATGCTTTCTAAGTTGATTTTAAAATAAATAATGCGTACTGGTGATACTAAAATGTTACAGAGTTGCCACGACTTTTTAAAAAAGGTGACAGCTCTGGCTTTTCAGCAATTCAACAAAATTTTCAGCAGCCCCGAGGCTGATGAATTGCTGAAATTTCTGAAAGTTGACTTTGTATGGAACAGCTGATTAACAGCTGACCAAAATTCAACAATTCAGCAATTCAACAGTTTAGGGAATCCCCCTAATAGATTCTGAACAGCGTTCTTCGTCACCATCAAGTTTAATGGGCTTATATAGACGCGACGTAGAAGATATCTGCTCAAAAGAGCATCTAAATTAATGTACCTAAGAGACGATCTTAAAATGATTTAACATACAATTTAAAACAAAAAAGAGAAATAAACAAAATCGTAGCATTCCTGCGCTCAATTCAATTCAAAATTCCCCCCACCCAGCGAACAAAAAACGGTCACTCTGCCGCCCAGTGTTGCACAAACAGCTGCACTTTGGGCGAAGATTTTCTCGTCTGGCCTGGAAAAATGATGGAGCTGCACTCGAACGACGTTGACCTGGAGGACGGCGAGGTAACCACCACCCAGTAGTCGGGGCCCCCAATGACCATCTGTGCTGTCCTTCCAGATATCGGACAGCGACAACGATGGCGTCTACACGCCGCTGCAGCGACCTGCAGGTGCCGAGAAGGTGGCCAGCCCCCTCACCACCTGCCACCAGATCCAGACGGCGCTGGAGGACGAGTCGCAGAGCAACAGCGACTCCTCGTCGGGGGAGTCCTCCGAGGACGGCTGCATCAAGAAGCTGCGCACGGACTCCACCGTGCGCGGCGGTCACAAGAAGCGAAAAAAGCGCATCCGGCGAACGGTGATGCGCCGCGTTCCGCCCACGGATGCCGAGATGCAGCCGAACCGGGCGCGCTTCAAGAAGTACAATGTGTGGGCCTCGGCCCTGCAGGAGGACGCCCTCAGCGAGAACATGCGCGGCTGCGACGTCACCCGGAGTGGCCGGGACCGGAATGTGGAGAACTACGACTTCTCGCTGCGGTACCGTCTCAACGGCGAGAACAGCCTGAAGCGACGGCTCTCAAATTCCTCGGAGGACGGCGGCGAGTCCTCTCACCCGGCCCACAAACGGGGTAGGCCCTCCAGTCGGTCCACGGACGAGTATCCACAGCGCGGATCGGTCAAGAGCAGACTGGGTCACCGCTCCCGACGCGGCACATCCTCGGCCAGCGGCTCCTCCGACTCCTGCGAGCCCAGGCACATTCTCGACCTCAACGAAGTGGCCGGTAGGGACCCTTCGGATGTGGCCACCGAGATGGCCAGCAAACTGTACGAGGAAAAGGACGAATTGCTAGGTGAGCTGGTGGAGAATGGGATGTGGCATGCGTATTAACTTAAAAACCTACTTCACCAGTTCGAGTCGTGGAAATCCTTGGCATGGAGCTACCCATCGAGCTGTACAAAGAAACCCAGCGCATCGAAGCCGATGGCGGCATGATGATCAAAGTGAGTAGCCAAACCTGTCCCGGAATACACCCATCAATAGCATTTCTCAAACAGAACGGCAAGCGGAGACGTACACCGGGCGGTGTATTCCTGTTCTTGCTTAAACACCACGACAGCATTACCCAGGAGCAGCAGAAGTCCATTTTCAGCGAGGATCGCCAGAGCCTGAGCAAGTCGCGAAAGCAGATCGACGCGTTACTGCGGGACCGCAAGGTGGAGGAGCTGAAGAAGTGCCTCAGCAAGCAGGTCAAGGAGCACTACATGCAGGGCGACGAGCTGCGGGAAGATAACCAGCCGAACAACTGTATGGGAGTCCTATTAAATGTGTCGATCCTTTTTGCTAACTAATTGATTCCTCTTCGGAACACAGTGTCCAACCCGCCGCCCTCGCCCGTTGGGGCTGGTCAGGAGCAGGACAGCCCCGAGTACAGGACGCACGAGATCAACATTAACCTGGTGGACACCGCCGAACTGCCCTCCACATCCAAGGCGGCGGCGGCGGCTCAAGGAGCACCACTCAAGGAATTAACCAGCTACGACGACGACTTTCTGGACGTCAATTGCGGGGACATGGACTTCTTCTAGGCCCACGCCAAGCGCAGGGCCCCCTTTTATACCGCACTTGCATAGATAGACCCATATTTGTACAATTAAATAAATGCCTAGCGAATTAGGACTGAAAAAGTAACGTCTCCGGGGGGTAAACAAAAGCACGCGTTAGGGTATTTCATGGCTGCGTGAGCTGCGGGGTGGGGTGGCGAGGCGTTAGGGCATTCCCGAGTGTCGATCGATAGTGACAACTCTAGTCGGCTCATCGCGACGACGCCGCGTAAAATATTTTTGTTTCCCCCGCATTCGTCGAAAAACTGCGGAAAGCGTTTGCTTTTATGTGTGGTGCGCGCCCCAGGCAAATGCAACCAAGTCCGCGACTGCAATTGCTGACCGCCTAACGCCGCCGAGGACATAAAATAACAGTAATGCGAAAGACCCGCTCGCAGACGGCTCGCACGCAGGCGGAAAATGCCGCAACATCCTCGAGCCCCGGGCACCAGTCAACATCGTCAGCGCCAATAGCAGTGAATCCCTTTGATGCGGGCAAGTACAAGGTGCGTTTCCGCCAGTTCCTTTTAATTCAGTTCGGCCCAAAGAATTTTCCATAAATATGGATATTGATAGGCAGAGTGACCGCAGGCCAATAGTGTGGCTGCCCCCGCCGAGTGGCAGGCCAGGCCAGCACAGCCTGCCGCCGCTTCGCAACACTGCCCATCCGCCATATTTCTTCAGACCGTGCGGACAAAACAAAATTCGTGTGACAAAAAGAGGCATTTTTGCGGTCGTTTGTTTTACAGCAGTTGGCGAAAAAAGAAAGCCGCTCGTGGTGCCCACTCAACGTATTCGAGTTTGTCTGTTGGCCTGCGTTATAAGCCATTCAAAGCGGTTCGGTCCTAAGAAATGAGGCTTCTTGCGAGAACGCCATGTTTGAGCAGCTAGGTAATGATTTGGTGGCATGCGAGAAATCGGGACCTGTTAATGCCTGGTGGATAGAGGAAATACAGAGCCAAGGCGTTCGTCCGAATGTCAGATTTCTGCTGAGCAGGCTGCGAGGGCTAATCTGCGATATAGCCCTTTGAGAAGCCGCACGGGTACATACACATGTGTACATATTTGGCGAAAACGCGATATTCGCACATAGAGCGCGCCTGTCTTTGTGTTCGTGTGTGTGTGTGTGTGTGTGCGGGCGCTTGGTGTGAAGTCCCGCTATTTGGTCACAGACATATCTGCCAATTTTGCTCACCGCCTTTCTTTTGTCATGTCATTGCCATCCCTGCAGGAATGTGAGCAAATGGTGCAGATGCTCCGAGTGGTCGAGCTGCAAAAAATCCTGTCGTTTCTGAACATCTCCTTCGCTGGACGAAAAACCGACCTGCAGAGCCGCATCCTCTCGTTCCTGCGCACCAATTTGGATCTGCTAGCCCCGAAGGTCCAGGAAGTCTACGCCCAGTCCGTGCAGGAGCAAAGCGCCACGCTGCAGTACATCGACCCAACCAGGATGTACTCGCACATCCAGCTGCCGCCCACAGTGCAGCCGAATCCGGTGGGCCTCGTGGGCGGCGGTCCGGGCGTCCAGGTGCCCGGCGGCCAGATGAACGTGGTCGGCGGCGCGCCGTTCCTGCACACGCACAGCATCAACAGCCAGCTGCCCATCCATCCCGATGTGCGGCTGAAGAAGCTAGCCTTCTACGATGTCCTCGGCACACTGATCAAGCCTTCGACGCTGGTGCCGCGGAACACTCAGCGCGTCCAAGAGGTGCCTTTCTATTTCACACTCACGCCCCAACAGGCTACCGAGATTGCCTCCAATCGCGACATTCGCAACAGCTCCAAGGTGGAGCACGCCATCCAGGTGCAACTGCGCTTCTGCTTGGTGGAGACCTCGTGCGACCAGGAGGACTGCTTTCCGCCGAACGTCAACGTCAAGGTGAACAACAAGCTCTGCCAGCTGCCAGTGAGTATCCATCGTCGATTGTGGAGCCAGGACGGAGTAAATAACCTGCAACCCAAACCCCTTGCAGAATGTCATTCCTACAAACCGACCAAACGTGGAGCCCCGGCGTCCGCCGCGTCCCGTCAACGTCACCTCCAATGTGAAGCTGTCGCCGACCGTCACCAACACCATCATGGTGCAGTGGTGTCCGGACTACACGCGCAGCTACTGCCTGGCCGTCTACCTGGTGAAGAAGCTCACCTCCGCACAGCTCTTGCAGCGAATGAAGACCAAGGGCGTAAAGCCGGCTGACTACACCCGCGGCCTGAGTGAGTTTTTGGGGCACATTTTGTGTATACTTACTAATCGATACGTTCCCCACAGTTAAGGAGAAACTGACGGAGGATGCCGACTGTGAGATAGCCACCACTATGCTCAAAGTGTCGCTCAACTGCCCGCTGGGCAAGATGAAGATGCTGCTGCCTTGCCGAGCATCAACCTGCTCGCACCTGCAGTGCTTCGACGCCAGTCTCTACCTGCAAATGAACGAGCGCAAGCCCACATGGAACTGTCCCGTCTGCGACAAGCCTGCCATTTACGATAACCTGGTCATAGATGGGTAAGAGAGTCTGCCAATTCGTATAGTCCACGAAGCTAACTGATTCCAATTATTTTCCACAGCTACTTCCAGGAGGTTCTGGGTTCTTCGCTGCTCAAGAGTGATGACACCGAGATCCAGCTTCATCAGGATGGATCGTGGAGCACACCTGGACTGCGGAGTGAGGCGCAGATCCTAGATACACCCTCAAAGCCCGTTCAGAAGGTGGAGGTTATATCGGACGATATAGGTGAGCCCACGTTTACGCTGCCCACTTTGTACTTGTTTTTGATTAACTCGTCCTGTTTCCAGAGCTTATCTCCGATGATGCCAAGCCGGTAAAGAGCGATTTGTCCCCGGCACCGGACGAGCAGCCGACATCCACGTCAAACAGTGAAACTGTAAGTTTATAGCATATATTGAGCCAAACTTTGCTACAATGTGATTTTCTTCCGACGATGCAACAGGTTGATCTAACGTTGAGCGATTCCGACGACGACATGCCGCTGGCCAAGCGTCGTCCACCCGCCAAGCAAGCCGTCGCTAGTTCCACGTCGAACGGCAGCGGCGGTGGCCAACGTGCCTACACCCCGGCACAGCAGCCCCAGCAATCCGGTACGTTGGATCCCTTTTTGCAATAAGCCAGAAAACCAATTATAACTCTGTATAGCCAAGAAACCTTTATAAGTTTACAAAGTGCTGATTGTAGACCTTAGGTTAAAGTAGTCATAAGAATCCATACACATCCCACATGCATCAACACAGACTCAATTACGCTCCTTCATCAAGAATTTAGAAATAGGGATGGGATATCCTCCCAAGTTCACATCTCTCCCCATGATAGTTTCGTTTCATATTTTCGTGTAAATAGTAACTTGTAACTTGTCGCAAAGTCCTAATTTAACGTAAAAGTATTATTGCTGGTGCATCATTTGTCTTAAATATTTATTGACATTTTTATAAATGCTGAACTTATATTTTTTAAATGCAAACGAACTCTACATTGGTTGAAACGAAACTTTTATGGAATTTTAAAGTAAAAAGAATTCTTATATTTTGAGAGAAAACATGTTGCTGTTTCAATTTTATCATCACAGATTATCTCGAATATATTTAGGTCCCCGTTTCCTTTATAATTTTAGTTCCCCATTCGATTTTAGTATCGGTACCCAGTTCAATTTTACCCCATTTTATAATTGTACGGTCATTGCGTATATACAAACATAACATTATGTTTTTAAACTTTAGAACTGAATAGCAGGGCACTTTCGTGTGCAGGGCAGGAGAAGAGAAAATCCAGAGCTCAGACACAAAATATGTTCTTATATTCCATCGAATCCCTTAGCCAAGACTTTTATAGAATAAGTAGACAAAAATATCCTAATCCGCTGCAGAAGAAAGATAGGAAGAGATTTGGATTTTGTATTCTCCGCTTGTGTATTGTAGATGGTAATGTTTTTAAGAAATCTGACACCACAGAAGGGCTTTATCGGCGTGTTAATTTGAACATGTGGCTGCGCTCACGGTAGGTTTTTCCATCCATCAAATGTGGCATGGCTTGGGTGTCCCAGAATCCCATTCTTTAACCAGTACTTTCTTACAGAAAACCAAAGCCAGACAGCTCCAGGCGCCCAAACGTGGGCTAAGCAGTTTTAAGCCTTTTTTCGGTTCTACAACCACCAATTGTTGTCCTCTCCCCATTTGATATGTATTTTGTGTTGTCACCGATTCTAAATTATTCCACGAAATGTACTCTTACTTTAAGTGATATTAAAATAAATCATAATAGTTCGTTAGTGGATGTTTTTTTTTGAGAACCCCTTTTTCGATTGCTGTTGTGTTCACCTCTCGTTGATAAGATGATAATAATCCAACTAATTGAAGTATCTTGTGCATTTCTTTGTCTTTTCTCTTTCTCTCTCTCTTTCTCTTCTCCCCTGATCTTTTTGTGTGACCCGTCCATGCTGCCGCCGATGAAACTCCTAGAATCCCCAGAACAGCAGGCCCGTCGCCAATCGCCAGAGATGCAGCCAGTCTTAGACCAGCAACTGCAGCAGCTGCAGCAGCAACAGCACGAGCAGCCAGCGGCAGCAGCCGTCCATGCCTCACTCCTGGAATCCCTGGCTGCTGCGGTCGCGGATCAAAAGCACTTCCAACTGTTGGATCTGGCTGCGGTTGCGGCTGCTGCAGCTGCCACGGCGTCCTCCGGCCAAAGTCAGAACGCTGGCCCGTAGGCAGGACCCACATCCCGCATCCCACATCCCACACATCCATCGCACTCATCTCATGACCTTTGATTTGGCTTACATAGTTTCGGTTTTCCGTTCCCCTTCCGGTGGCACACGGTCAGATCTTTCCCCAGAGGCTATTCTTCGGCGTTCCATTCGCAGTCATCTCATCCATTCACACGCTCTCAATCGCGGCCCACCAACTGATGCTTGTAATTCTTGTGTTGCAGGACGCAGGCAGAACAGACAGGCTTTATAGGAGCGGGTTCCCAGGTCCCTAATGGCGCCCACAACTGCTCCTCCATCGGCCAGGTTGTTGCTGCCCCCTTTCAGTTGGCTCACCCACTTTGGTTATGTCCTGTGTCTTTCGTTTCTGTGTCGTCTCGAGTAGTTGTGCAACGCTTTCCCAGGGTTCACAGCAACACACACTCACCCCGTACAATAACTGAAATAATCCTAGATATTAAAATTACACAAACTAGCACCAGCATTCATTAGCAATTACCATAGGAAACGCAATTTAATTTATTTTCTTTTGAAGCGGGCTGTCAAATGATCACAGTGGAGTCCGAAGAAGTTAATCGCCCTACGCATTACTAACATTATCACTAAGCGTAAACCTAAATCAGATGTTAGTCTTAAGTCCTGCCACTGCAAGTTGGGCGTATTCCTATTCCTATGCAAGAGGCGAGAGGAGACAGGCCAGGCGGCAGCCAGCCGCAGCACCGACATTTAAGTTAGTTAAGTTATTTTAGTTGAGCAAAGAGGAGTGGAGGGTTCTGCCCTCAGATTCATATTTATATTGTGTTGCAAGTCAGGTCGAAATCGCATTAAATGTTCATGTGTATTGACAACAAACGAATGCGTTTTTATTGATGAGAATCGATTGGAAACGGCGGATTAGTTATGAAGTCAAGACGGACACTTGGTTGATAAGGCCCCCTGACCTTTGCCTTTGTCGTTTATTTAAGCTCAAACCGTTCAATCACGGATTTATACTTTAAGATTTTTAATTGAGTATTGCTTTGACATTGATTTGATGCCAAACCCTATTAATTAATATCGGAACGAACAAATATGAAATCAATGTACAAGGAGATGTGTACTTTAACTATATTATTAAACAATTTCCAACCAAGGCCTGTTGTTTTATTCACAAACGGGGGTCAAGTTCTGTTTTAAGTTTATATCGATTTTTAATTTAGCATCCCGTTTTTAATTGAGCCCACCCGAACCCTTTTCTTTACTTGCAGAGGATATTGACGGGAACGTTGAGGCTAAGGTCAAAGAGGATTCCGTAATTGAACTTTTAGACTCGCCCTAGCTGCCGCCGCACGATCTTTCAAATAAGGTCCTTCGATATCCATAGGCGACCCCAAAGAATTAGACTTGGCCTGTTAAATGTATTTTATAATGCGCCAGAATTCGTTGATTATCTTGTAGCAACCTAAGTATGTTACATTTCCGTGTAGTTTGTATAAGAAAAGTATTCGTTAAGGTAAGAATCTGCGAATAATTGGCTAGACTTAAGCACCTGCACCAATAAAGTTGGAACAATCACGCCGTGCATTTTGAATTTCCCGCGCATCAGCTGTGCTTGGCATTGCCACAGGTTGGCATTCCCATTATGACTTTTACTTATGGCCATGGTCGTAGTGCACATATTTCTGGAGGATTAAAGGTGGATAGGATCTTTGGCACCAAAAAATCGACAAACTTTGCGATTTTTTCTATAAAAACTGGTTGGATGGATTTAATTCAAACCTTTTGTATATTATTAAGTGCCATTTAAATACCATCCACTAATTTTTATAGCGATTGCTGGAATACTATTAAAAAAAGGCGTTTTGTGGTGTTCACTGTACCTCCGCTTAAAATGATCGGATTTCCATTTTGATTTTACATTTCGCTTAAGTTTTAAAAAAAATCCGCCCCCTATGAAGCCCTTTTTTTTATTTTTTATTTTTAAGAATTTTTTTGATAGTCCAAAGTTATAAATGCGTTTTTCACCAAAAAAATTTGACTTTCGGCTTAAAAATAAAATGTTTAAAGTTAAAAAATAAAAAAAACGCTTCATAGGGGGCGGGTTGTTTTTATGCAGAGAAATATGCGACAAATTTGAAAACGATCGGTTGAGCCGTTTAAAATGTCGATGAACACGGACTTTCAAAACGTGGTTTCGATTCGAGAAAAACGCACTTAAAGATGCACTTACGTACCTTAAGTCTTAGAGGTTAGGGTACTAGTTTTAGCATAACTTCTAAAGTTTTTGTCCGATTGACTTAAAACTTTTTTTTGTATACTCCTAAGATGTTAATCTACAAGAAAAAAAATTTTAAAAATAATCTACATTTTTTTTGCAAGACCCTATCCTCCCTCCCCCTCTTACACAAAAATTGCGAATTTTCTATTAAAAAATTTGTTTTGGGAAAGTAAAGGGAAGAGACTAGTACTTTATTTTATGAGCCGTTTTTCTGGTCTTTGCTTATAAAATTGAAAGATGTTAGTGATTGTTCAATTTACTAAATATAGCTTTCTCCGAGCTTTTAATGTTTTTTTAGTTTTCTTCGTTATTAATTCTTAGAACTTTCAAAGAATAGAAACCATAGGAAGGCCAAATATCATATGCATATGTATATGCGAATGGAATATCTGTAAGTGTATAAGGTCCACTTTATCCCCTGCCTTCGGCGTCCATGCTTTTGGCTTGTTGTTCACCTTGATCGCCATTTGTTGTGTGAAATCTTTGGGAGAATGTCGAAGCCAACGCTGTATTACGCCCTTTTTAGCCCTCCGGCCAGAGCATGCATCCTGATAGCGAAGCTAATTGGTCTGGATCTGGACCTCAAGTAAGTGAACAGAATCCGCTTGTTAAAGATGGTTAACGGACGCTCCTTTCAAATCTTTAGGCCCGTTGATTTCGCGAAGAAGGAACATCTGAGCGAGGAGTTTGTGAAGGTTCGTGGTACATACATACACCTAAAATCGTAGATTTCATTCTGTTAAGCTGTATCCTTGTAGCTAAACCCCCAGCACCAAATCCCAGTGCTTGTGGACAGCGACGGTGAGGTTTACGTGGATAGTCACGCCATTGTGTGCTTCCTGGTATCCAAGTATGCAGGCGACGACCAGCTGTATCCAAGGGATCTGAAAAGGCGAGCCCACATAGATCATCGCATGCACTACGAGAACGGAGTGCTCTTCCAGGTGATCAAGGACATTGTGGCGCGAAACATTTACGGTGGAGAGGGCGAGTTCAACCCCCGTTCTTTGACACTCTGCCACAACGCCTACTCCGATCTGGAGCACTTCTTGCAGACTGGAAGTTTCGTAGTGGGCAGCGAACTTAGCGTGGCCGACGTGTCCATCCATACCACTCTGGTGACCCTGGATTTGCTCATACCAGTGGAGCGGGAGAAGTACCCGCAGACAAGGGGCTGGATGGAACGCATGGATAAACTGTTGCCGGACAACGAGGAGATCAATCTCAAGGGTGCCCAAGCCCTGCAGACCCGCATCCTGAATTGCATGGCTGAGAACAAAGCCAAGAATCAGTGATTCTTCCCTTGTTTTGCCTTTACAGAATCTACAGAATATATTGCCAGTTAATTTAAATGAATTTCGAAACAATTCTGTAAAAGCAACCTCTCTTAATTGACTCACATGTATAAACTGGAATTTATTTGTATTTTATTGGTAATTTGTTAGGCTAGTTGGCTTAAATTCATGCTACTCTAGATTCTTATGTCTTTTGATTTGGAAGTCCAGTGTACAATATGTATATGTAGTTAGCGAGAGTTCCGATTCATGCAAATTAACTAAACTTGCCACTAAACAGTTATTTACACAACAAGCGTTTTAATTTGATCCTTTGCTGAACAGGCCACTGAATATAACTAACTGTAGACATATAATTTTGGGTATTTAAGGATTACTTTACTGTCATCGGTCGCCTCCTTTCTGATTCTTCCCATGTCTTCAGGCTATTTACAACACAATGTATCAATCACACTTATTTTGGTATCATATTTGAAGCGGGTTGTCCAGTCCCCTGCCCCTAATCGAACGTCGTCCAGTTGTTCATGCCCTTGCCGGTGGTGAGCTGCTGTGGCTTCTCCGTCCCGTTGGCGTTCAGGGTGAACTGGTCCAGTCCGTACTTGCGGAGCAGCTCGAAGTCGTCGTCGGGCTTGGCGGCAATGGTGCTGCGCTGGTTGTGAGGCGGTGGGTGCATGGGTGGCGTCCGTCCCGTCACCGCTGCCACGGTGGCCATGTGCTTGGGTGCGAAGTAGGGGTACAGCGGATTGCTGACGCTGCTGGCCACCACACTGCTGTTGACGCCAGCGGGCAGTGTGCTGCACTTCTTACCAAACGCCTTGCTCAGCGGCGGCAGCGGCCGGGCGTTCTGATTCAACGGATCGAAGTCCTCCAGGTCGAAGCTGGTGTTGTTGCTATCGTCCAGCGATATCAGATCGTTCATGCTGTCCTCCAACGGCTGGTGCTGCTGCGGGTGGGGGAGGCACAGAGGTATGGACTGTTAGAAAGCTTTGGGGGTTGGATTCTTGGATACTACGAAACATACATTCAAGTCAAGTTACTTTATAGCGGTTACAAGCATCTAAATATGTTTGAAAACTACAATAGGTGCAGTAGCTTAATGACTCAACAATGATATAATAGAACGCAGATGAATAAAAAATAAAAAGATCCTTTAAACCAACGGAATAAAATGTTATCGGACTTTCTATATTATAAGCCATGTGGGTGGCTTAATTTTCTTACAATTATTATTCAAATGGCGCAGGCAATAAGTAATGAAAAATGGACAATGGTTTTACCAAAACAACGATACACAATATCTTTAGCTAATGGATTTCAGGGAGAATGGATTAATGAAACTCTTATCTCTTTCTACTGCTTTCAAAGATGAAAATTAACTACAGGAGACTACATGAGGGCCCTTGATGTGTGTTAGTGTGACTTTGACTGGGAGACCACAACCAGGATGGGCTTAGTAAACTAACGTCGCAGCTGGTGTACCTCTCTCTTGGCCCGCGGTGTCGGAACGGGCGGATCGGAGACATTTAGGTGCGAGAACGTCGACGCCGCCGTCACAAAGGAGGCGCCCGAGGAGCAGGACGAGGTGGCCGACGACGAGGAGGCGTTCGAGTTCCGCGCCGATTCATTCCCGGTGGGCTCGTCCTGCCAGCAGTTGCGTTCCAGCCTGCTGATCTCCGCACTGACGGCTGCGGCTGTGGCGGCCACGATGGCATTCGAGCTCCCCTGCCTGCGGGGCGGAATGGGCGGAATCGGCGGAGATTGTACGTCCGGCGGACTGTCAAAGCTGCTGGAGTCGGCGGTGGGCAGCGGCTGCCGCGGTCTGGTGGGCGTGGAAGTGTGCCTTGGTGGCTTCGCCTCGACGTGCGGATGCGCGGCATACGGGTGATTGTAGTAGGAGGCGGGCGTGGACTGCGGAGGCGGCGGGCGGGCTGGCGGTGCTGCTCCTCGCCTGTGCTCTGCGTTCGGCTTAAGCTGCGTGGGTCGATGGGCAATGCCGGGATGGAGTGGGTGCAGATGTCAGTCGATTGAGTGATCGGTTACATTGGTGTGTGAGGTGTGGAGTGTGGGGCGGTTGTGGGCATGACATGGGGCAGACGATCGATCGAGGGCGACATACAGTTGGACACAGACACGACACAGACAAGGAAACAAAAACAAGAAGAGCATGAGAACAACATAAATTCACAGCACATCGAGATGAGTGGTCGATTTGGCTTAGCGGCAAGCATGTGAACCGGCTGCACTTTAAAGTTCCAGCCATTACTGGAGCTGCTGCAGCCGAAGCTCGTACGCCCGCACCAGACTACTTACACTGCGGTCCACGGCAGGCGTCTTGAAGAGCGGATGGTTCTGCAGCTCCTGCGAGAGGTTCATCTCCGAAGATGAGCAGAGCGAGCTCGCCGAGCTAACAGCAGGAGACGCAGCGAGGTGATGACCGTAATGAGCACCAGCACCCGCAGCGTACGCATGGCCGTTCGGCTGAATGTGGCTACTCGAGCTAGACATGGCCAGCGGAATGGGGCCGCGGCGCTGGAACTCCCGCGGCTCCCTGCTGCCGGATCCTGCGCTGCCGCTGCTTCCCGTGACGGAGGCGATTCCATCAAGCCGCTTGCTGGTCACTGGCGAACTGGGCGCCGAGTGGTGGGCCGCTCCAATGGCCTTGCCTCCACGCACGTATCCTCCGCTGCCGCCGTCCGGACGATCCGAGTGGTTCGGCGATCCCAGGCCGAAGTGGAAGTGCGTGCCGCCAAATTGGTTGCCGTTCTCGCGCAGCTTTGTCTTGAATCCCTTGTAGGCGGTCTTCATGCCCCGAGAACCCTCCTTTACCTGCAGGGATGGGAGCTCAGATTAGTTAGGAACATATCACAGCACAAACAGATTCACAAAAAGCGCACCGAACACAAGACACAAATTCGGGTTTAAACTGGGACTGGACCACTCACCGATTTGACGGCAGACTTTACAGCCGGATTAGTCTGCAATGGTTAGACAGACGCATGTTTTGGATCAGAAAACGATTGGTCGCAACCGCAGCGAGAGCAGAAAGCACAGAGGAGTGTAGGATGAGCGATCCAAGCGGCATATGGAAGAAAGACACACAAGATACAGGCGAGATACGGTGTGAATGAGATGCGCAGAGCGACCAGCGGGTTATTTAAGCTACGGCTAACTACACTTAATGGCTACGATGACAATGCTGATTCGGGTAATGGCTAATGGGTACTGGAGATCACGGGGCAATGGGGCTTGACATGTCGAAGCGGTGATTGTGATCTGCGATCAAAGAGTGCGTTCTAAACGATATCAGGGCTGAAGGCCACAACTAGCAGTTAGTATGTTAATGGATTAGTCCAGAAGCTCGTGTAGACTACAGGATACTTAGTATTATAAGTAGTATTACAAGAAAGAAAATTAAATGTTTGTGACCTTCCTTTAGAATAACATGTTAAAGTTTAAAATTGTGTTCTAGTCAAATGGCAAAGCCAATGTGTTAGTAAATAAGCTTGATTTAAATTTAAATATATTAGTCCATTACCAATTTATCAAGGTTACTTTTCATTTAAGACCGAATAGAAGTTCGAAGTGATTAATTTGAAAAACGTATAGAGATTTTTTTGTTCACCTACAGGTGACGACACAAAACAAAAAAGGAAATAATAATAAAGAATTAGCTAACCAAAACGTGGAAATCATAGATAATAAGATATTATTTGAGAATGCATCGACAAACATTTAGACGTTTTCTTTTTTAGTTTATGGCAACATATATTATTTGGTGCAGTTGCTTGTTAGGACGTTAAATATTTGGTTTGCATTAAGATAAGAAATCATTTGAACTAACATTGCAAATAAGGTGTGTGGGAATTTACATTCTACTCGTTTATATATTGGTATTTATTGGTTTGGTGGATTTGGCATGGTTGGCAGTCTAAATATGGTTCTTGGCAAACAACCGCGACAAACTGCGCTTTCCCAAATACTGTGGAATAGATTAAATCAAATCAGATAAAAGAACATCATAAGGTGGTCAGGAGCTAAAAGTAACTTAAGAGTACAGTGGGTTAGCGAGTCAGCGCAGAGAGAGGCGGTAACGAAATGCAAGCCCTGCTCCCAAGTCCCCTCCAAGCCAGGCAACTGAGGGATGATCAGGGATGATGGTGGTGGTTTAGGGCGGATGTGGCACCATGAGGGTTAGGCTAACAGCATTGGGCCAACGCTGATGGCCAGTGGACAGCCACAGCTTCCTCGGCTCACCTTGTCCTTCAGGTTCTTCATGATGGCGTAGTTGCGGCCGCGCTTCTTCTTTTCTGCATAGCGCACCGTCTCCAGTTCGAACTCATCGGAGAATCCGAGCCCGCTATTGAGCATCTTCAGGCGATCGTCGATGAACTGCGCAAATATCTGCAGATCCATCATTTTGGCAAGAAACGGGCGCAGGTGCGCCGGCCGAGATTCAATGAATTTTTGGGAATTGAAGGTCTTGCTGGTCTCGTGGTACTCGACCGCGTCCCGATAGCCGCCGATCAGCTGTACCAAGGCGTTTAGAAAGATCTTCGAGATCCGGTCGCCGATGTGGTCGTGCGTGTGATTCAGATACTTTTTCAGCTGTGAGACAATCTCCGGTGGCAGATTGTGCACATCGTCAAAGGGGCTTTCGAATATTTTCGTATCACAGTTCAGGATCACAACTTCGCCCAGCTCATCGCTGGTCACCTGAATGAGAAAGAACCCAATGAGTACTTCGATAAGCTTACGATTTGCATCCTGCAGCTTACAGTTTCGAGCACTGGTTCTGGCACACCAATCAGATATGGCATGGGCGCACCCAGGTAGTCTTTGAACTCCCACGGCAGCACCGGTATGAAGATGTGCTGCCAGACCATGGGATATAGGAATGCGTTCGCCGCCTGGATGCAGGAGGACAGCCGGTCCAGGTGTCTCGAGGTGAAGACAATTCGACGCTCGGCCAGCATGGCAGCAAACACGGCAATCATCTCCTTGGGCTCCACGAAGTTATAGTATAAATTCAAGTTGTGCTAAAACGAAATATTTATATTTCGACTTCTTTGGAGCTGCTTAAAACTCACATTTTCTGGCATGCTGGGCAACTGGAACTGCAGTGGGCGCTCGAAGGTAAAGTGCTGTTTCATAAGAAAGGATTGTAGGATTGTATATTTGTATTTAAGGACTATTTGAGGACTCTTTACTTACACTGTGCCCTGCGTTGTAAAAGACTTTAAGGCTGCCGCCGCAATCCGGAACTCCCTGGTTGTAGGCCTCGGACAGAAAGGCGCGGAATCCGTTGGAACCCGTCCGCTTCAGCTCGCCAAGAATGGGTAGTAGCTTTAAGAAGGTGTCGTGCCACGGCAGATATGTAATGATCACCATGGCCGTGTTCGTCCTGGGATCCTGTCGGCAGAAGCCAAAGCGCCATTTCGAGTCGCCGGTGGTGTGCACAAAGGAATACGTCTGCACCGAGGTGCTGCATTGCGAAACAGATGAAATTTTATAATATAAAACACAAAGGTAAAGTAATAAAAGAAGCAAAGACTCCGTACTGCCTATGGTTCGTTCAAAGCAAAATTCGCTTTGGCATTGTATGGCCTTGCTCATCATGCGTTGCCCAATGTTATGCATGATGAGTTGTTGATGACCGATTGAGCACCGGATAAAAACATACACATATACTTAACGTACACTTGCGGGCAACTACAATATGATCGATTAGTAAATATAAAATATATTATGTAGACTCACAAAAACGAGTAAATAAAACCTTAAATTAAAACAAATGTAAAGACAGTTTTAAGTTTTAAGCAACAACAAAATTTGCAAAAAATATTAAATTAGCTTTGTAAAAAAAGTAAAAAGTTTAAAACTATTTTTTCTTCCATAACTGTGGGTGAGTGGGGTTTTCGACGAATCTCACCCAAGTTTGATGTTGGGTGAGTAATGCTGCGAGTTCCTCTTCATTTTCCACTCATAACCCACATAAATGTGATTTTTCGCACGACTTAAAGTGACGAAACAACCCGCCGACAAACTGGCCTAATGAATTCAGGGTTAATTATAAAAGCACATAAATCATAGAGATTTTTATTACTCTTTCCGCTTTACTTTCTGCGATTTTTAAAGTCCCTCATTGAGAAATACCCTACAAAATACAAGATTATAGTAAAAAAAAGTTGTTTTGTTTTGATATCCTGATTTCAAAATATTGTTTTAGTTGCCCACTCATTGACAAATGATACTTTCCACCTTTGGTGATTCAACCGTTGGTTTACATGTACAGCGGGAATTTTGAACAACAAGAAATGTTTTTTGGCCCGCCTTATACATATATCTCTTTTAAGCCATGTCTAGTTTCTGCTTTCTTCCCGTTTGTTTGATTCATTTTCTTTGCCTTTTATGCGACGCGTTGTCCGCATTAATTATTGTGTTGAAATCGCATTTAACAAATTAAATAAATCGCAATTTTGCAACAATGACGGCGCAGTCTCATTACCCGGGCACGTTTCCCATTGTCCGCCGATTTGCATATTGTTCGGCTTCAGCTCGGACTGCGTCTCTTTTTCTCTTCGCGCCGAGTTACATAAAGTCGTTAGATCTAAGTGTTTCGGATCGTGTCATTACTCAATTTAATATGCAAAGTCAGGCGGCGGACTACGCCGAATCCGCTGCTGATATGGGTGCTCGCAGAGCTTCAGGAAACAGAGGCGCAATGGGAAGGAAAGGAAGGCTATCTTGGGTGGTTGGGACGTTGACTTGGACTTGACTTCCTTATCACCGCTCTGTGTTCAAATCTACAGCTGCGGCGAAGATTTGAGATTTAGAAGTTATAAACAAACGCCATGGAAGACAAAACAAAAATGAATATATATAATTTTTAGCATATTAAACCCAATTATTTTTAAGTTTCTAGGTTAATATGAACAAATATTAAACACAATAACGCAGCACAGTGTTTGAGGGAAAAACAAATTCAAATCTAAAGTGAATTTTTAATAAACAGTTTTGGGTTGAAAGCAGCACAATTTTTGATCGACATTACTAGACAACATTCTAAGATATATATTGACTCAGTTTCTTATGTAAATCGGTTGAATGGCTAGCCGCAAAAACCACTTCCGTTTTTTGGAGAGAGCGACAGTCAGTTTTTTTACAGTTATCTCTAAAAGGAAATATTGGACAAAATCAACCTTATCATACATTGCAAAGCAAGGAATGGCTATTGACAGAAATTAAATCTCTTTTATTTGGCCTTTTCCGTTTGAAATGAGTACGAACACCCCAAGAGAAATTGCCACATATAATATTTTTGTACCACAAACTAAGTTGAGTAATTACAATAGTTTGTGAATAGCTATACTTGATTATAAGGTGAAAGTTTATTTATATGATTCAGTTAAGATCTTGATTTATTCCATATTTTTCTGTAAAGTAGGGTTAAAACCTTGAAAACGTATGAGAACTCAGAGTTGATGAGCTTACTTTAACTTTAAGGATAAATCGGGCCTATTAGCTTGACCGCAGCTGTATATGAGTACACAAAATCTCTGCTCAAATATAAACAACGCCACTCGGTGTAGATTCAGAGAAATCGTAGATAAGCTATGAGGTCAAACCAATTTTTGCCAGGAGGAAAGTAATCTGGCAGACAAACTTTGAAATTCCAGTAACGAAAAGTTAATTAATCGGCAAAGTTGCCTTTGCGGTGGTTTATCAAGTGATGAGTTAGCGGTGTTACACGGACTGCTGGGCAGATAAGCGGGTGGAACGAGTCTGGGGCAGCCGGATGACTAAGCAGGTGGCGAAGGAGCCAATTGATACAGTTCCAGGCGCTCCAGGAAATGCTAAGCGAATTGCGTCGAACAATGGCCATTGAATAATACAGTTCATTACGCGAACTCGCTGTGTAAACAAACACCGAAAGCGAAACAGCAACAGAAACCGAAACGGCACAACAGGTTATTCGTTTCATGGACAAGCTATCTGTTGTTAGTTGGTGGAAGTGGTCGGGTCGAGTGGTGACTCATCGTCGGCGGAACCCTCTTTCCGTCTGGCTATGGACGATCGCTGGTCTTGCGTATGCGTCTGGGTCTGCTGGTGCTGCATATTATTTATAAAACGGACGCCCCTCTGACTAATGCCGTTTCCGACCCTATAAAGTGAAGATATTGCTGATCAGCATCACTATTGCGTCTGTTTCTGTACGATTGGGAACTTTCCGACGGTTTTCTTATGAATTGAGTAGGGAAAAATTTTAGTATCTGCTGTAGATGCCATATTCAGTTGGGATTACGTCGTTTGTTTTTAAATATAATTGTGTTTTATCCCACAGCTGACACGGAAACTTTTTTGTAAATGGATATGGGATCCTTTTGCACGATTTTAGTAGGTAATTTATAAAACTTGAACGAGAAAAACCTCCTACCACTGACCGGAAGTGGACGGAGGACGGGATAGTAGTACGCACCTTGCTGTGTCGCAGGGAAAGGCAAACGATGGGATGCCGGTGAGCACCTCCTGGTCGCGGAATCCTTCGGGGAAGCTCTCCACGATGACGCCGGCGGGCGCGGCAGGGCCACCGCCTCGGGGACTTGTGCCCCTCTCCAGTCCCGGCGTCGGGGAGACCTCGCACCAGAACTCGAAGAGCTTCTTCACGTCATTTCTGGGGGGAGGAGCGGTGGGATTGGCGATGACTCGTGGGAGTAAAAGCGCCCCGATAGCGACCAGTGGTGCGGAACGCCCACTGCAGCCACCAAACTGGAACTGGGCGGCATACTCACTTGATACGCGATCCCATTTCGAGGAGGTCTAGCACATGTTTCCGTCTCGGTCAGGGGGTATGTTCGTTTGACTTGTGTGTTCAATCCGGGCTGCTTACACTGCTAATACTGATTATGCTGACACAATACGGGTGTGCGGCCACCACTTTCCTCCTGCTGCTCTTTGTCGCCTCAGACTCGCGACGTCATTGGTTGGTTTTCGCCGTTCGCGTGGTTTTTGCACCTGCTTGCTCTGGATCTGGGACGGGGACCACTGCTCACTAATTTTCTGGCATTTTCGGCCCGCAACAATTGATATTTCACTTGGAACCCGCAGTTTTATGCAAGCAAATAGAACAAAAACACTTTTACAAAAAAAATCGCGAACAGTGTGACCGTCGGTGGTCCGATCGAAAACGTCACTGAAGGTGCAGCCTCAGTGATTTCAAAAACATACCAAAAATTGCGATCATTTGGAAATCAAAGCTCTTTGATTAAAGGAACGTGACATTTTCATTGGTCTTGTTTATCAGAAGAACGTACAGGCTATTTCCTAAACTGTTAAACTGTTGAGTTTTGGTCAGCTGAAAATCAGCTGTTCCCTACAAATTCAACTATCAGAAATTTCAACAATTGAATTCCAGATAGATGCACTGCTGGATTTCATGCGATAAGCTAAGTTTATTACAATTATTTCGACACGAAATATGCGACAGCTCTGACTATTTTCTTCGTAATCGGGACCTCGAAAGACATGGAAGTGGAGACTCTAACCGGAATCTGTGATGTGAGCCAACTGAAAGTTCACCGCGCATGTTTAAATCTGCAGTTCAAAAATCAATCTTTTTTTCCGGACTTAGATGGTTTTTTCCTCAGTGTAGGTGCAATTCTACCGCTTTGCTCAAGATTTAGCAAAGTTTCACACCGGCAGGGGTTTCTTCCTGGGACTACTTTGGCCACATTACTGCTGCACCGTTAAGCGTCGATTGTGTTTATATTTTGGTAGTGTGCGCCCTGCATAGTTTTTTCTAAGTTTCCTTGCATCCCAGACGTTTCGTTCAAGGTTCCTCTCTCGGCCACCGCACAAAAAATGCATAATATTTTTTATAGGGTTACATAAGTGCGTGTAACCGAAGCAGCTTGCCTCTAAAAAGTTCCTGTACCTAGTCGCCAGTGAGCGAGAACCGCGTATAGTATAAACTAGTTTCGATTCCGTCATACTTGGCACGGTAATTACCTGCACCCACTGACCTAGGCGAATCAATAGAACCCCATTTACCGCCCACCACCCACTCCGCCCATTGTTTTGCTCCTGCACGTGATGACGCCGAGGAGAAGTCCGAAACCGAAGGCGACCCCGAAAGCCAAACCACCGGGTCAATCCAATAATTACAGATACTATCGGTCTGCGGGCATAGTTTCGATTTGTGTCACAGCCCCACAGGTCACAGGTTTTGAAGTCGCCTTGTCTAAATTTGTACTTATTCTCTTATTTCACCCTCTTTTCAAGGTAAGCACCCGTAAATTCTGGAACTTAGTACCAGGCAGCACACAATTGGCAGAGCCCCCGGACAGACCCTCGGTTTTAGCACACGTTACTAGAAATATTCATTAGTTTATAGACGCCATGCTGTGCGCCCTTGTCCGTGGTCCCTCCACCGGCCACAAGTTGGCCCTGTACCGCTCCGTGTCCGAGCTTCTTGGCCCGGTGCACGATGTCCGCAGCCTGTCCGGCGGAAGAGGCGTCCATCACCGGCAGCCACAGCTCCAGAACCACCCAGCCCACCGCCAAGATCTACTGTGAGTGAGCGATAAGCGCCGTAAACGGGCCCAGTGTACCTGAACCCGTCCCGCCTGCACCCATTCGGGGCGTGTGTCGTCTGCCTTTGATACCGCTGACGACCACTCGTTTAATCAGAATCCATGTGCATACATTAGCGCGCGGCGATTAGATATGCCCCTCGTACTTGTTAGCCCTAGACCGAAATAGCCCATTCATACCGCCAGCAAGTCGGGCTGCGCTGTAAATCATTTCATTTGTGGCTTGTTCGCTCTTTCAGCTCGCTTTCCCGGCCAGCGGAGAGTTCCAAATTGTCAGTGCGAAGCCTTCACTCGGAGCACGACGCCATGTTCTACTCGATGTACGCCTACTTGTCCAACCTGCCGCGCCTCCACGTCCTGGGCATGGCGGTGGTGGCCTATGTCGTCTATTACCTCATCCAGGTGGTCAAGGTGAGTGTAGTTCCGGCGCTTACATCACATCCGGCGCGTGACTAATCGCTAAGATTGGGCCTGTAATTACAGCGACCGATAATCGCCTGTTCGGAGGGGCCGTTCAAACAGTATCTGATCCGCAAGGTGCCGACGCTGGAGAACAAGTACTGGCCCACCTTCTGGTGCGTGGAGAGTCGTGCCCAGACCGTCCTGGCGAGCCTGCTGCGCTCCAAGAGTCTGCCGCACGTCAACTACCGCCGCGAGATCCTCTCGCTGAAGGATGGCGGCGAGGTGGCGCTGGACTGGATGGAGGAGGGCTGCGACGCGAGCGCTCCGTGCATCCTCATCTTGCCAGGTCTTACCGGCGAGTCGCAGGCGGAGTACATCAAGTGCCTGGTCTTCGCCGCCCAGCAGTCTGGCATGCGGGTGGTGGTGTTCAACAACCGCGGACTGGGCGGCATAGAGCTCAAGACACCGCGTCTCTACTGCGCCGCCAACTGCGAGGATCTGTGCGAGGTCATCCAGCATGTGCGACGCACCTTGCCGGCGCAGTGCAAGCTGGGAGCCACTGGGATCTCGATGGGTGGCTTGATTTTGGGAAACTATCTGGCCCGCAAGAGCGACGAGGCCAGGAGCTTCTTGTCGGCGGCAAAGATTATCTCGGTGCCTTGGGACGTCCACAAGGGCAGTGCCAGCATCGAGAAGCCGGTGATCAACAGCCTGCTGGGCCGCCATTTGGCCGGCAGTCTGTGCCGCACCTTGCGCAACCACCTGGACATATACAGGGACATTTACCAGGACTCGGACATTGATATTCAGCGCATCTTGCGCTGCAAGACCATCAAGGAGTTCGACGAACTGTTCACGGCCAAGCAGTTTGGATATGCCCACGTGAATGACTACTACTCGGATGCCACGCTGCACAATAAACTGGACCACATCTCGGTGCCGCTGCTCTGCCTGAGTGCTGCCGACGATCCGTTCCAGCCACTGGACGCCATCCCCATCAAGGCGGCCAATCAGTGCACTCACGTGGCCATCGTGATTACCGCTCGTGGCGGGCACATCGGGTTCCTCGAGGGCTGGTGGCCGTCCACCAAGGACCAGTACATGGGCCGCCTGTTCACGGAGTACTTTACCAAGGCGCTGTTCGACGAGGATGGCGAGTTCGAGCACACGGCCAACAAGATGCACGAGCGATTCCTGGCCAAGCAGACGGTGGCACTGGCCTCCTCGTCGCCAGTCCTGCTCGCCAAGAAGATGGACGCTGATCAGCTGGACCACAAGGTCAAGCTGATGTGAGCGAGGCCCGCTACTCGGTTTTTGCCCAATTAGGATTTCCACTTAAGTACATAGATATTCGAGAATGTATTCCGATAGATTTCCGTGAGCGAAGACTTTCGTACGCATGTGATATGAAATGTTGATCAAATCCAAAGTGTTGTTATACTCTAAGTCAGCGAACAGGGAACCAAATTGTCAGTCAATACGCATAGTTGCTTAAATTACTCGTAGACCGTGACACTAGTGACATATCAAATTGAAATTGCAATAAGCTTTACGATTCGTAGTGGTAAATTCAAATACAGATATATGACACAATGCAATAATCTTATATTTTTACAAGTTCCGTATATTTATAACTAATAAAAATACAACGCTTAATAACGAAAAAATAAAACACTTTCACTGCATTACAAGGTAAATTTGACAAGCGAGACGTATTGGGCTTGGGGTATTCTCCGAATCGTTTAAAAGCCTCCGGGATTACCCCCTCATAAAAACCTGTTTCCTAAAGCTAAAATACCAATTGCGATATGCCTAAATGGGCTTGTAGAGCAGTGTGGTGACGTACTTCTTGCGATACCGGTGCGTGGCGCTCAGGACCATGACACCATCCTTGATGGACAGTGCGTACAAGTGGTTCAGCATCACATGGTTCGGTTCCGGCAGCAGAGTGGGTTCGCACTGCGGGTAAAACAAGATCACGTTACAGAAGATATCGCTCGCAATACCACATATACCCACCGAGAGCGGTGTGTCTTTGTTGAGAATGACCTGCAGCAGGTGAGGCGGAAGAACGGGTGGGCCGGATACCTTCTCCCAGGGCTTCACCTGGGGCACCTCCTGCGAGTACTCCTTCTCCGCGTAGTTGGTCACGTTCTCGCTGTCTTTTGCCAAGGCCTGGAACACCTCGAAATCGGATTCCCGCACGGACACCAGGTTATTTCTGTGCCCCTCGTCGTTCTCAACGCTTTTCTGAAATTGCAAACCGATGAGCAATAATCAATTTATTGTAACTATAGCTTGCTAAACAGCTACAAGAGAAATAATTCATGGGCCCTTTGTTGCGTGCCCTTAATGGGAGGAGCCCAAATATAATGGCAGGCAATATCAGTGGGCTTTTCGCTGAGTTCAATAAAACCCATGAAATTGAAAAGAAATATGGTTGAGTAAGGGTAATTGTAGGTAGTGTTTATATTATTTTGAGTTCGATAAATTATATGATGGATCTTCGAACGCGATTCTTAAAAATATATATCAATATCAGCTGAATAAATGGTCGGGATCTATCCCTTCGGCAAGCCGAAGTTTTAATACCCTTGCAGATTTCACGAATTAAAATTTGACTACAATAGCAACATAAATTAATAAACAAAATATTTCATAATTCAAATAATTAAGTTTTAAAACATTCCACCTTATTGTTCCTATGGGGGCTATAGGATATAGACGTTCGATCGGAACGCGCTTTTACCCTGATCAAGGTATGCACAACAAAATACGATTTGGAAAGATTCATGTCATTAGCTTTTACACTGCGCGAAATATCCTGAAAATCATCAAATTTTTACCGATTTAACCCTATTATTCCTATGGGAGCAATAGGATATAGACGTCCGATCGGCACGCGCTTTCACCCTGACCAAGGTATGCTCAAAAAAATACGATGTGAAAGATTCATGGCAATAACTTTTACACTGCGCGAAAAATCTTCACTTTTTGCAAGTTATATCCGATTGTTCCTATGGGAGCTATAGGATACAGACGTCCGATCGGGTCCATTTTCAGACTTGATATGCGTACACATGTTTTAGGATGACTGTGAAAGTCTTAAGTCGCTAGCTTTTAAACTGAGCTCGTAAACGGTATTGAAACAGACGGACATGGCTATTTCGACTCCCCTAGTGATCCT